CAAAGTGTCTAGGGAACAACTTCAATTTTTCTCTAAAAAAGTTGATTTTGAGAAAAACGCGAAACAACGTAAAACGCTATTTTTTCGATATGTCATGTTTTTCATTTTTTTTATGCATAGATATCAGTTAATGCATTTGCAAAGCGACTAGAAGGATGCATCATTGGCCCGTATAACACATTTTGATGATGAAATTTTTTAAAAATCTAACCAACAATAAAAACTTTTCGTTCATACGCCATTCGATAGAGGACACTTAAGTGTCTTCTCAGATATAAAAAAATATCGAAATCGAAAAAAGTGAATTTTTGGGGTCGGCAAAGGGGGAAGAGCGTCCTGGAGCTCTTCGAGTGTATAAGGAGTATCAAAGCTCTTGTTGTTGAACGAGAACGCATTCCAGACTGTATTCTCTAATATTGTTTTATATCTACATTGTTGTCTATCTTTTTATGTGAGACTGTTATGCATTCCACGTGCTTAGAAATGGGAATCTGAAAGTGCAATCTATAAAATATACTTCGTTGTATAATTTATTCTTTTTTTTTTTTTAAAGAATATCCTGATGCTGGTTGGTCAATTTCAACACATGTATTACTTGCTGCTCATATGCTTTTTGTAAATATTCTACTTACTAATTTGCTTATTGCAATGTTTAGGTAAGTATTATATAAGATAGATAACTATAAAAATCAATTCATATTTTAAAGTAAACGATTTGATCAAGTGTATGAAGATACACAAAATATTTGGCATTCTCAACAATATTTATTTACACGTGAATATTATACACGTTCACCATTTTTTCCACCAATAAGTCTTATTTATGATGTGTATTATCTATGTCGTATAATATTCTTTAAAATAAGACATGTTTGCTTTAAAAAACCAACTGATCGTCGAGCAAAAGTATTTAGTAAGTCAAAAAATTAATTTATTTTTTATTATTTGAAATTTTAATATTTCTTATAGAAATGATTCCGATAAATAAAAATTGTATTAAAGATTGGTGTGAATTTGAAGGTGCATCAACATATGAATATGCTCATACAGAAGCAAAAGCATCAAAAGTTGCATCAATGACGTAAGTTGTAGAGACAAACAAAAACCAAAAGATATTATTAAAGTTTTTGTTTGATTTAGATCAACTCATGGTTCAGATTCTTATAGTATTGAAAAAGGAGAAGATACAAGTGATAATATAAATGATCCAAATAATTCAAATAATAATCTACGACAAATACAAGATGATTTAGCAAAATTAATCAATGATTTGAAGAAATTAAAATACAATTAAAAAAATTAATTGTAGTAAATCATTTAGTTATTAATTAAAACAAAAATATATTTTTTATTTTTAGAAACCATAGCTCAAG